ATTAGAGCAAAAATAATCCAGTTTATTCTGGGACGCAACATTTAACAGCCAAATACGGGACAATTCCGTATTTTAAGGGACGGGTGGCAACCCTAGGTGACACACTTGGGCTTCTTTTTAAACAGGAGGTCTGACCGTTATAACTTGTTTAAGGGAGGCCACAAAATGAAGATTTCTTCTTCACCAACACACTGCACACCTGTTCATGCACTGCTGCCTCTCACTGGTGGAGATGGTGTATTGCACTACTTACAACAGTCTTAAATAATGTTTTAAATGTAACGTTCATAAGTGCTTTGTGGACATCTTGCTGTGAAACTTTAGGATCAATTAAATAAATGTATAACAAGTGACATAGTAATGTCATAACACACAAAGATACATAACATTTTAAATGTTGACAATTAACAACTATTATGATATATTTATGACAGGTGATGATTCTTGGTTAATGTCAGGTTGTCATAACAAAGACATTTTCAATAATGTCAACTTTGGATAAAAAATGTTATTATTTACCAAATGACACTTTATGACAACAGTCATAAATGTTCATGGCAGGTGTTATGTCATCTTTATGACAGTGTCATGTCAGTCTTATGCACACCCCGTCAGATAAAGTGTTACCACACAAACCACGCGGTATGGCTTAAAAATAAAATCTCTGATTTTTTCGTACCAAATCCGATTTTAATAGATTTTTTTTTCTCGCTATCTTTTCTAAAAATAAATAAATATTTTTAAAAAGTGGCTTTTATCTCATCTCAATCTCATCTGTGACTTTGTTAGAATATTATTGCCAAGCTGCAATAATTTTTGTTTAATTACATAATTAATCGCAGAAGAAGAAACTTCTTAAAACTACGAGTAAAAAACCTCCAGTTTAGTTACATTAAGATTTGACGCTCAGCTCAAGTGTTACTTCGAAATACACATTTTTTTGCACGATCATTTGAAAGTCCTGCTGCTGATAATAATTTAATGTCGATGTATTAAAAGATGAAGCATTTCCATTAGGTATGAAGTATTATCTGTGAAACTGATACCAACTTTATAACTTCATAAAATGCTGAGCATACCTCATTTTATTTTTTGGAGGCGGGGGTGGAGGGAGTATGTTCAAGCTCTCATAAAAGAACGACTTCATTCTGGGAAGATTATTAATTTAATCTTGAAGAGTTGATAAAAATTCAAAATCCAAATGAATAGAAGGTCAAACAAGATGGCGGCTGTGAGGCACCACTCTTAAATATGGAAACCCAATTTGTTTTAGTGTCCAAACCTAGATTTTACCAAAAGCATTTATACCTTTTGGAATTTACATGCGAACATGGCCACCCTCTAGCTCCATCCCTGTTTCCATTTACACCCAGTCATGAGAAAATAATTTAGCTTTGGATTAAAGGGAAATATTTACTGTATTGTCAGTTTAGGAGAAAGATAAGTAACCATTTGTGGTTTGCATTTGGAAAGCTGACATGGACAGGTGATATGTTCATATAAAATTACTTTGTTTTTCCATTAACTTACTAAAAATGTATTAAAATTTTACTTACATTAGAAAAATCTAAGTTTGTATTAACAGATGAGGGGATGCATGGTTTTCACAATGCATACCTATTGATCCAGTGCCGTCAATGATTGCAGTAACAGTTGATAAAGCTCTGGAGTTTCCTCTCAGACTTTCGTGTGTTCCCTGCAATAAAACAGAAATATTATGTCTATCAGGCTTCAAAGTCTAATGCACAGAAATGAGACGAGGAAGCATAGGATCTAATGTTATGATGTTTCGAGATCTTACCAGGTCAGCAGATACAGCCGTGGTGATCAGGGCGTACGGTCCGTTCACTAGGCCTCCACACAGCAGCAGCATACCTATACGTGAAAATGTTAATTTAAATTCTTTCATACATTAAACTCAAAATATTTAAAAATCAAGTGTCTAAATGTTCCATTAATCGACCTCTTTTCATTTATAGATGTTAAAACAAACAAGCTTATCTAGTGTGACATTGCACAATATGCTGCTTCTCTCAGCTGCCGCTTCTGAAGAAATTTTATTTCAAGCCATGTTTTGCTGCATTGGCCATAAAAGTGTTTATTCTGAAAGCTTTATGTTTATTTAGCCTTAAAAACCAATCAGAGTTGAGATAAGGCTGGCTAATTACCTTTCACAGGTCAGGGGAAAGTTGTTTTGACATCAAAAGTTTAAAGTCTGTGTATATATTATTTAGGTAAAGCAGATAAAATATCCGTCTGAAAATTCGTATCGAAATAATATAAAAAACTGAATGAAATGCCTCTTACCAATTGTGATCCCGAGGCTCTTTTGTCCAATGTAATTATAGACGAAGAGCTGGAAACAAAATGAACAGAAGGTGTAAATAAAATAGAAATGACCACCATCCCACTCCTTCATAAGGTCAACATCACATATGGACTTCTAATATTAAACTAATACAAAATACCATCAACAAATTTCCCCTAAGCAAATATGGCTTAGGGTAAATTTGCACTTTTGGATATCTGGATCTGAATTTTATACCTGTAGACAAACTGATTTCTACCATCAGGTTTCACTCTTTTTCTCCACATAACTCAGTATTTTTAATAATAGGGGTAAAAAATTATAAAGTTTTCAAAACTCTACAGTCATATTTGATAAATTAGAATATGTATTAAGCTGTGGCTTGTTAATCAGATTAAAAGTACCTTTTGAAAATGATGGCCTTTAACCAATCGATCAACTTTATTTATACAATTAAGGAGATTTGCTTGCAAGTGAGGTGAGTCGGCTTTCTGGTCAAACAGCAAATTTGACATAAATGCACAATAAATATAAATATTACGTAATTAAAAGTGATCAATACTAGGGATGCTCCAATCAGCTTTTTTGCTGCCAATTCCGATTCCAATCACCCATGAGGTCCGATCATTGCCAATCACCTGGATTGGCTGTTAACTTTTCGTATTAGGTATAAATGCTACAATGTGATCTGGAAAAATGGAAAAATGATCTGGCAATAAATTCACCAAATTTAGACATAATACATCCAAAATACTTGCAGTTACAATACAACAGCTATTCAGTCAAAAGGACAACTGAAAAACCTGAAATCAGTAAAATAATATTTATCAGTAAGCCAATATCAAATAATGTCAAGAAAAAGTGGAAACATTCATTCAAAGTCAAATGCAGGTTGCATCAAAATAAACAATCCTGAATTACTGAATGAAAACTTCCTGACAGCATGGCTAGCTGTTCTGTACTGGCTCTGATTGTTTGTTTCTGACCGAGGGAGGAGGCAGAGGAGATTGATTTTTTTTCAGAAATTATCTGTCTTATGTTAGGACATAGCGAAAGTTTTAATACATATGTAAAATCTTTTTGTTAGTTTGTTTGCTTAAGTTACATGCTGCAGCTTTAAGCAGACGTTTGGTGTGACAATTCAGTCTGGTGGAGGCTGAGCGGTGCTCCGTCTTTGAAATATTACTACCAGTAGCGAGTAGCAGCGGTCCAACAGCGAGAGCAGAATCAGAGTCTTACACCACAAGCTCATTGACTTAAATTATTTTTTGGGTTATTTGCTTAGCTTTGTGACCATCACAAAGGCTAAGCAAATAACCCATGCTCTTCTAGGTGAGTGCTGGTAGTTGTGCGCTGCTTTACCTGCTGCCTGACAGCTTCTGATATCATTTTTCCCTGCATTGAGCCTCAATGTAGCCAAACTCTGCCAATTGTCATGTTGGAGTTTATTCATTTTTGTCTCTGTGCTCCACCAGGCCCGTTAACCAGTTTCAATACCCGACCAGAACCCCTCAGTGTAAATTACCTTAAGAAATAATGAGATTTGGTTAAGTATAAAAACAGGCTGTTGATCAAATGTTACAAGCCATACATGTCATACAAATGGAACAGATACAGAGTTACATTCACCGTCCAGCACTGGACCATACTTAGCACACCTTATGGATGAAACCAAGTGAGACAAAGATTGTAAAGAAAGTTTAGCTTTTTACTCTTTTCTGCAATCTGTTCCCTCCTTAAACAGTAGTCTAATCAGTTTCAGTCTGTTTATGTATGA